ATACGGTCACCCTCTTTATATGTGACCTATTTTTTCTGTAAGTATTTAGGATCTTCTCTGTACTTCCAGTGTTCCACATTTCATGCTGATGTGTCTTGGGAAAGGTCTTTTTTCATTCATTGTACTAGATTTTTGTAGGCTCATTCCTGTCCTTCTATTTGGGAGATTTTCATTACTGTTTCTCTAATTATGTCCTCCTAGCCTTTCTTAGTCGGATGTTTGACATTCTGGATTGTCCTCTAGATTTTTTTCTTCTCTTACAAATAAGCAAGGGCATGTTATCTTTTTGCCTTTTTGTTTCATGGCTGAAGGATTTTTGTACATCTATTTTCCAGTTCTTTTGAAATTTAATTTTTTTTCTGTTTTGTGTTTAATTTCTTGTTTTACTCTTTTCTCACATCCTCCTGTTCTTATGGGAGTGTATCTTCTTTTCACTTCTCTAAGGGTATCCATTCTTCTTTCTTTTCTTAGGTTTCTTTTGTTTTCCTCATTGCTTTCTGCGGTCCCCTCTTCTGTCTGCTTTGGTCTGTCTGAGCCTTTCCTCAGGTGCCAGTGATCCTTAACTCTCTTCATATTTAGTAGTAAAACATTCGGAGTATCTCTGAAACCTGAGCAGAGCTTTTTGGCTCCGTTAACTATAACTGCGCTGTGAACTAACATCTTATTTGGAATACTCTTCAAAGGGCAGAACTTGGAGATATTTTCCGGGGAGTGGAGGGATCAACCATGCAGTTTCTCCGAGAGACTCCTCTGCTCTCCTGCCTGGGAGATTTTGTGTCAGGCTGCTGGCATTCTGTGTGTAGGGTAAGGGAAGGAGGCAGAAGTTCCCAGAGATCGGCATGGCGCCTTTCCCTTCTGCCTCATCCCAGCCTTCTGTGCCTCCTAGCCCTCTGTCTGGAGCTTCTGGGGCTCAGTTTTTCCAGAGAAGAAAACTTCTTTTCTCCTGGTGAGAGGGGCGGGGGGGGATGGTCACTGGTGGGATCGTGGAGAGGCCCAGTGGCGCTGTCCCTCCCACTTCTCCCTTTTCGGTGGTAGCCGCCGCTGCCAGAGCCACTCCTCACAGGGACTCTGTGGGCCTAATTAGGTCCCCCCTCACCTTTATTCCCTCTGGGCACTTGGGTGATAACTGCCTCTTACTCTTCCATCTCCTGACTGTCTTTGAAAAATTTATGAAAATCTGCTCTCATTAACTCTCCCTTGCTCTTCTTTCTTGTGGGTTAATACATTTGTTTTATTCCTCTCCTGTCTTTTAGAGGGGTTGGGAAGGGAGAAGAGATAAACTAATGTGTTCAATCTGCCATTTTTAACTGATTCTGGCATGCATTTTTCTAGACAAAGTATTACAAATGCTGATTAGATGCTGAACAGTACCATCAGGGCTATTCCTCATGTATATTGTTATGGGTTAGATAGGTTTTTGTGGGCTGACCTGGAGACCTAACATCTATGATTTTCCCCTAGAACTAGAGAAACAATCAAGCTTTTGTGAGCTGACCCCGGAATTAAAACAGACTAGAACAAAAATATTTCATGCGTGTCTCCATTTTCCGAGTCACAAAGAAAATTACAAATATTGTGTCATTATTGTCGAAAAATAAAAAGCTCCAGTAACTGTAACAGAAACCTGTATTTTAATGGAAAACTTTATTCATAAAGTTAAGCTATAAAAATTGAACCAAGAAGCAAAATTAAGTTCTTCAGCAATATTCCTAAAGCTTAATTTTTTTTCTTAAAGATTTTATTTATTTGAGACAGAGAGAATGAGATACAGAGAGCATGAGAGGGAGGAGGGTCAGAGGGAGAAGCAGACTCCCTGCCGAGCAGGGAGCCCGATGCGGGACTCGATTCCGGGACTCCAGGACCATGACCTGAGCCGAAGGCAGTCGCTTAACCAACTGAGCCACCCAGGCGCCCGCTAAAGCTTAATTTTTTAGTAACTTTTTTGAAAGCAGTTTTTCTTTTCTTTTCTTTTTTTTTTTTTTAAGATTTTATTTATTTGACAGAGAGAAACACAGCGAGAGAGGGAACACAAGCAGGGGGAGTGGGAGAGGGAGAAGCAGGCTTCCCGCCTGATGCGGGGCTCGATCCCAGGACCCTGGGATCACGACCTGAGCTGAAGGCAGACGCTTAACGACTGAGCCACCCAGGCGCCCCTGAAAGCAGTTTTTCTAATTAAATTAAAACCCATTGATTGTGTTAGCTGTGGGAAATAGCAATAGCCACAGGAATAGTTTGTTTACTTGTATTTTCTGGCTACTTTCTTATTCCTACCTTACATACAACAGGATCTGCAATACTGAATAAAGCAGACTTGGCCAGATTGACCGGTAAAACCATCTTCCTTGTCACGAATGACTGAGAGTAGCTGTGCAGGGCACTTGGGTGGTGAAAATGCAGCCCAGGGCGCCTGGGTGGCTCAGTTGTTGGGCATCTGCCTTCAGCTCAGGTCATGATCCCGGGGTCCTGGGATCGAGCCCCACATCGGGCTCCCTGTTCAGCGGGGAGCCTGCTTCTCCCTCTCCCACTCCCCCTGCTTGTGTTCCCTTACTCACTGTCTCTCTCTCTGTCAAATAAATAAATAAAATCTTAAAAAAAAAAAAAAAAAGATAATGCAGCCCAGAATATGGAAAGTACAGAGTGCTTGAAAGTAAATGCTGCACCAACTCGGTGTTTGAATCGCGGGACCACTGCAAACATAACAGACCCACGGTGATCGTGCGGCTCCAGTTTCCAGCCTTCCGGAAGGGCATATGGGGCTTTCTTGAAGAGGATCACCCCTGTTGTTCTGGGGCAGCCTTCCGTGAGCACTTGCTCCCAGTGGCCTTGACAGCCCCAGTCTCAAGGGATCAGAGGCGATTAGGAAAACCAGGAACTGTTGTTCCAATTTCTTCTGTGGCTGGAACAAGGTAAGGGCAATGAGATGCAGCCACTCCATTGTTTCCCGTCCCTTTTTGTATTTTCTTTTTCTTCTCTTTCTTCTGTTTTTCTTCTCCACCTCTCCCCCTTCCACCACCTTATCCCCCCACCCCCGCCATGCTTCTGACAGAACATTGACTGGGAACCAGGAGCCCATTTTGGCTCAGCCTTCAGGGCAGCTGTTTACAGAGGAGCAGGGCTACACGGGTTTACTGTGTCGTATGTCTGTGTAACACTGGATTTGGATCTTGTATTTAGCTGCCAGAAGTGACTGTGATGAAGTAGCAGAGATAAACTGATAGATTGGCTGCCAGAAAGATGTTGGGAATCAATCAGATAAACAGGGTAGAGAAATAGCTGGCTGTTTTCTAGTGATAATAAACCAGTGGCCTCTGGTCCCCGCATTTTTAAACGTAATTGCTGTAGTAATAATGTCCAAAATAAGCAAATGAAGAAACATCATAGGAGGGTTTTTTTTTTTTTTTTTAAAGATTTTATTTATTTGAGAGCGAGAGAATGAGAGACAGAGAGCGTGAGAGAGAGGAGGGTCAGAGGGAGAAGCAGACTCCTTGCCGAGCAGGAAGCCCAATGTGGGACTCGATTCCGGGACTCCAGGATCATGACCTGAGCCGAAGGCAGTCGCTTAACCAACTGAGCCACCCAGGCGCCCCCATAGGAGGGTTTTTAATTGCAATTGAGATACCCTTTTCCCTTTTGCAATAAAGATCATCTTATATGGAAATGAACATTTCTGTAAATTTGTTTTAGTTCTTCCAGTGCCTACTTACATAAACAAATGAAAATTAGAGAGTGAACTACTTTCATAGGAATTTATTCTTCCTTCTCTATCCTCCCACAGACTTCAGCTGTTTAATTTGGTGAAATACAGCAATACAGATTGCTACCATGCCTCACCTACAAAATCATTACCTTTTTTTGTGAAGAAACAAGTTTTAAAGTCAAATCTGTATTATTGACAGATGATGAGCAGGATTATTTTAGTGTCTCCCCTTAGAGTTCCCTCAGAAGACTTTTGGGATTTTAATCTCTGTTGCTATTTCCCTGCCCAAAGCACTTGTATGGGAGAGATGTATCCAGTTTTATTATCATAATTTAAAACTCTCTTCCTTTAATGTTTAACCTTTCTTAATTTTTAAGCAGGCTCCACACCCAACGTGGGGCTCAAACTCACGACCCTGAGATCAAGAGTCACGTGCTCTACCGACTGAGCCAGCCAGGCACCCCTACCTAATGTTTAACTTATAAACATTACTTCTCTTCACCAAGGACTTTAAGATCCAGTGCAAATTCTTAAGTCTATGTAAAAGGTATAGATTTACACTCTGGTCGTAGTGGACCGCCCAGGACTAAGAGGAGAGTAGGAGAGTAATTCAGAGTGCCCATGGAGTTCGTTGTATGGGAAGAGAGACTGGTTCTCTCTGTTGTATTGGCAGCACACACATATGATTTCTGTCAGGATCCCTTTTAAAATTGTCGTGGCTGTGAATGTGTTGGTGTCATACATGGTTAAATCTCTTCATAGTAAGCATGGTAGAGTACCAGCCATGGAAAGCAAGAGAATGAAGTTCACACTTTTAATTATATGTAATAAAGGCTTTTGCCTGAGGAAGACCTTCCTGACTGTTGGAGGTTACAGGTCAGAAGTTAACCATGTACCATTATCCTATTGGTGAGAAGCTGATGCATTTTCCTTTTTGCCATACAGCCTTTCCCACCTGACCTTTTAAAGATTTTCCAATGGTATCGATGAGGTGGACAAAACTAATCATAAAAACAGTGAAGGGAATGTTGCACACTCTTTGATCCATTTGAAATGAACTGCAGTACAATAAGTCTTCCAAATGGACTTCTGTTCTCAGCTATTGCTATAGCCACCTTTTTAAAGATATATAGATATGAAAGGGTTAATGGGAATTCAGTCATGCTCTTGCCACTGGGTTGTCCCCTATTGATTGTAGTTTTAGAGTTGTCACTATGCCATTCAGAATTCCTCCTGTGCCCTTTTAAAGTCACTTGGTGCTGGGAGATGATAAATAAATCAGTTGCTTTTCTTTTTCCCATAGCTCCTTCGAGAACTCATAGAACGGAAGACCAGCTCCTTGGATCCCAATGATCAGGTGGCCATGGGAAGGTAATTTAGATATGGCTTTCTCTTCATGAAAGCAGCCTATATAATAATTTCTCCCTTTGAGTCCCCTTAATTCTGCCGCAAAGGCAGTGATTGGCCCTGTAATTATAAAAGTTAAGCAACATAAAAAAAAAAAAGTTAAGACAGTAAGAGCTAGAAAGACAAAGTGATGGAAATCCTAACTGTTTACCCTACACCTTGCCTTAAGTGCAGTTGAATAAGAGATTATAAAACACCTCTATGTCTTTGTTTTAGGGTTTGTTTTTCAAAGTCCTTCTTAGGCTCTTTGCTTTCTGATTTGGGCTATGATTGTATCTGTATCAATTTCTGACCACTGGATAAAAAGCAACCACCCAAATGTGTTTCTCAGCTGTCCGAATGTGGCACGGTGCACAACAGGTTCCTTCCTCATAGTTGAATCTGCTTTGTTTGAGTCTGCCCTAATTTAGACCTCCACCCTTCAGTAAAAGCCTCGGCACAATTAGAAATGGAACGTGGCAGCATTACCCAGATGTCAGGGTAGAATGTAAAGTAGTGAAGGAAGGCTCTTGTGTGTATGCTTCCTCCTGTGGTTGGAAAATAAAAAGGGCATTTAGAGTGCTACCTAATGAACAGTGTACATGTAAATAGCCATGAGCCATACTTTGCAAAAGCATGAAAGGAAACAAAAGCTGCAAGTGCCAGAATGGGATTGCGGGCAAAGCAGCATTCTGAGAATGCAATGAAAAATTTGTGTTGATGAAATAATTTTATTTGAGTAAAACATTATTTGGGTTTTAGGATAGGATATTGTTGATATTTTGTGTATCTCTGGAATGCAATAGAGAGCTGTTCACTATAAATTTAATGTGATATAGCCAATTGCATATAAGTGGTGATTATATTGTACATTTATCTGGCTTTACAATAAAATAGATTATGGTAATTAAGATTATATTAAGATTATAGTAATTGGATTTCCCTAGATTATTTTTTTTCTGATGTTGAGTTTTCGTTGTCTGAGTCAGGTAAGATGACTAGCTGCTGCTGTTTCTCCTTTTTTTCACATTTGTTCATATGAGGAATTTATGAAGATTTTTCTTAGCTAGTATCCATTATTTGAAAAATTAATTCCTTTTCATCTAAAATGACTGCAGAATATGTGAATCTTGTTTGGGTCCTGATTCAAACAAACTAACTGTAAAAGTGAGATGATCTGGGAAATTTGAAGACTGACTCAGTATTTGGTAGTAAAGAATTACTGGTACTTTTTTGTAGGTGTGACAATCGTATTGAGACTATATTGGGAAAGAACCCTTACCTCTCAGCAGCACATTCTTAAATACTACAGATGAAATGAAAATTAAATAAATAAAATGGCCGCAAAACTAATGTCAGTAGTGGATAATTATAAAAAATTAGCAAACATTGGAAAGTGTCAGAAAAAGCACTTCGGTATTAACAAAGGGAAAATTGAAGGAATCCTGTATTCAAACTGAACAGCAGTTGCAATAATAACAATAGAACATCCTGCACAGCTAAAACGTTGAAAGCAAACCCAAACAGCTCTACTCAGTTTGCTGGCTTTTCCTGTGGACTGCGAGAGATTTAGTGCCTGTCAACAGCAACTCTAGATACTAAGGAGCATTGTTAACCAAATTCGCTGTAGAATTTCCCAGCTGCCATTTGTTTTTTTTTTTACCATTGCACAAATCCTTTTCAATTGATTAGTCGCTTTGGCCCCAGACTATCTTGAGGAACTTGTTGTGTGTTGATGATGTCTTTCTGCAGGGTTGTTAGTGAGAAAAATTCCAATTTGTCAATAGGTATAACTATTTCTGTTAGTGATGATGCATAACATTGCTTGTGAATTTCCCAGGCAGTGGCTTGCGATCCAGAAGTTACGAAGCAAAATCCACAAGAAAGTAGATAGGAAAGCCAGCAAAGGAAGGAAACTCCGGTGAGTTACTTTTTAGAAAAGATTTTAACATGTTACAGCTCTTATATTTTGGCTGTTATGTCAATTCTCTATTTCTTCTGATGATTCTGTTTTTAAGGATCAGAAAAATAGGGGCACCTGGGTGGCTCAGATGGTAAAGCGTCTGCCTTCGGCTCAGGTCATGATCCCAGGGTCCTGGGATCGAGCCCCACATCGGGCTCCCTGCTTGGCGGGGAGCCTGCTTCTCCCTCACCCTCCTACTGTTCCCCCAGTTTGTGCTCTCTTGCTCTCTGTGTCAAATAAATAAATAAAATCTTAAAAAAAAAAAGACTTTCTTTTTAAGGATCAGAAAAATAATGATAATAATATCTGTGGCTTTTGGGGGACTCAATTTTTCTTACTCTAAAATGGAAGTACTATAGTTTCAGTTCCTTTTTGTTCTGCTGTTGTAAGAGGATGGGTTAAATAACACCTGCATTTTCCTGAAAGAGAAATAAGAAGAAAATAAGATGGTTTAAATTGTCTTAGTTTTTGTTTTTCTGGTTTTTTTTTTTTTTTAGAGTGAGAGAAGGTGGGAGTGGGGAGGGAGAGAGAGAGAATCCTAAGCAGGCTCCATGCCCAGCCTGGAGCCCGACGCTGGGCTCGATCTCACGACCCCAGACCACAACCTGAGCTGAAATCAAGAGTCGGATGCTCAACTGACCGAGCTACCCAGGAACCCTGAAATCGTCTTAGTTTTAAAAAGCAATTTCTACAGAACAATATAACAATTTCACTTTGGATGCCTATTTAAAATAGGATTATATTGGTCCATTTTCATGAGGCCATACATGTACGTGCTATGCTAAGAAGATATAAATGAAGGATTCCGGAGAATGTTAACAATGTGCTTAAATGAGATGAGAAATAGAATTTTTTTTTAGGACTTTATTTTTAAGCAATCTCTTCACCCAACATGGGGCTCAAACTTACAACCCCGAGATCAAGAGTCGCACACTCCACTGACTGAGCCAGCCAGGCACCCAGAGAAATATAATTTTTATGAGAAAACAGATTTCTGACTATAGGAAAACCCTCAATCCTGTGTGAGTATTATGTGTGGTATACAGATAGATAATATTTTGTTATATGTCTGTTATGTAATATCATTTGCACAAAGCCTCCATGTCAAAGAAACTACTTATAATTGAGGTGCACGTGTAAAAAAAAAACTCAAGCTCATTGTGTTAGGACACTTTAGACGGATAGCTAATTCCACATCCTATTAGAGCCTGCCTGTCATTGAATTCCCTTTAGACAAATGTGGATCTGCCTCATACTTAAGTAACTTCAGAGAAGCAGATTTCACAACTGCTTTGATTAACCTGTTTTTGTTTTTAACAAACTCACCAAGAAATGTGTATTTCTCTCTAACTTTGCAGAAGTGCAGAACAGCTTTTCACCATCTTTTTATGCAAAGTCACTTTCTTAAATCTCAGGTTAAATTGTTACAATTTGTTTAACTTTTTTCATATTTGGAATTTCCATGTCTTCATACTTCTCCAGGTTTGTTTTTAGTGGGATGGTTAAGAGCATAGACTTGAGAGCCAAACTTACTCTTTAATGTTGAGATGATTTTTCTCCAGTGCTGTGTTTTTAAAATTGTGGCTTTATGAGACGATAAATGTTCTCTAGAGGGAGGACCCTGGAATCCTGGGAGGCTTGGGTTCAAATTCTGGCTCTGTCTGGCTGTATGATTTTGGTTGTTCTTTTATCTCTGTAGCTCACTTTTCTCATTTACAAAGTAGCGATAATAATCCCTACTTGAGAGATTTGGTTTGAGGGTTAAAATGATGTATAAATGTCTGGTACGTAGTAAGCATTCGAAAGTATTAATTTCCGGGGCGCTTGGGTGTCTCAGTCGTTAAGCGTCTGCCTTCGGCTCAGGTCATGATCCCAAAGTCCTGGGATCGAGCCCCGCATCAGGCTCCTTGCTCCGCGGGAAGCCTGCTTCTCCCTCTCCCACTCCTCCTGCTTGTGTCCCCTCTCTCACTGTGTCTCTGTCAAATAAATAAATAAAATCTTAAAAAAAAAAAAAAAAAGCAAGTATTAATTTCCTTGGTTTCTCTTGTGTTTACCTATTGGTATTGCTTTGCAAAGATACCATCTTCAAAAGAATTGAGAGAGGAGAAAATCCCTTTTCTACATTATTGTTATGAATTTTGTATTGGGACAAGTAGTTATATGTGTGTGCCCCTGGAGGGCAAGAATTGTGCTCCCTTATATTTTAAGACAATTCCAACCTTACATTAGTCAGCCAGAAGATGTTTTTGGATGATTATGTCATTAAAACTAACATGCTCACCAGGTAAGGAGAAATGGCTATAACCTTAAACATAAAACAGTGTTAGAAGTCTGGGTGAGTGTTGGAAAAGTGAGTATTTTTCAAGCATGGCAGATAACTTAGGAGGACATGAGTCTGTTGTTTCCCAAATCAAAATATACTTATCATGGTTATTATTTATTAAGTTGAAAGAAAAAAAAACAGGATTTTGTTTTAATAGCAAGTGTTTTTCTTATATTAATTTATTAAACTAATTTCATTAAACTGTTCATTAGAGGTATGGTCACTGCAAGTATATACATCTGGTTTTGTAGCATTTTGATAGTGATTTAGATTCACACATGCCCATAAAACCAGAGGCATTTAAAGTCTTATTCTGGCAACAGGCAAGTGAGAGACATTCTATTTAAATGGGACTAAACATTAAAATGTAAGATGTGGTTAATTAAAATTTAAAAAGGAGGGGCGCCTGGGTGGCTTAGTCAGTTGAGCTTCCGACTCTTGATTTCGGCTGGGGTCATGATCTCATGGGTTGTGGGATTGGGCCCCGAATCGGGCTCCCTGGTCAGAGGGGAATCTGCTTGGGATTCTCCCCCTCTGCCCCTCCTCCCTGCTCATTCTCTCTCTCTCAGATAAATCAATCTTCTGAAGTTCTAGGAACCGTATTAGGTGCCAGTTAAGACCCACTCTGCCCTTGAGGAGCATTGTCCTCAGGAGAGGATGGCAGTGGGCGCCTGGGGTGCTCAGTTGGTTAAGTGTCAGACTCTTGACTTTGGCTCAGGTCATGATCTCAGGGTTGTGAGATTGGACGCCCCCCCCATGTTGGGCTCCATGCTGGGTGTGGATCTTGCTTAAGATTCTCTCTCCCTGGGGCGCCTCGGTGGCTCAGTCGTTAAGCGTCTGCCTTCAGCTCAGGTCATGATCCCAGGGTCCTGGGATCCAGCCCCACATCAGGCTCCCTGCTCGGTGGGAAGCCTGCTTCTCCCTCTCCCAGTCCCCCTGCTTGTGTTCCCTCTCTCTCTCTCTCTCTGTCAAATAAATAAATAAAATCTTAAAAAAAAAAAAAAAAAGAAATACAATGGTCTGAGGACAGCTGCCAAATTCTTAAAAAAAAAAAAAAAAAAAAGATTCTCTCTCCCTTTCCCTCTACAGCCCCCTCCCCATTTGCCCATGTGTGCTCTCTTTCTCTTTAAAAAAAAAAAAGAGGCTAGCAAGCAATAAGCAGACAGTGATGCTGTGTGGGAAGCGCTGTGGTGGAGGTCCTCCTGGTGGAGGGGTCACCTGAGTGCCCTTGAGGGAGTGCAGGCTGCTCAGGAAGATTTCGTCTAAGACACCATCCACACTCCACACTGAGCAGACTAGGAGAGTCAGCCCAGTGAAAGGCCAAAGAGAATAACGTTTGCAAAAACAAAGACTTGAGAGTGTACATGGCCATTTTGGGAACCGTAATTTAATTTGTTTTGGAAGAAACTTAAAGTGAATGGGGGAATGGCAGGAGATGAGGCTGTATGGGTAGGTGAGTTCTAGGTCGTGGCCATGCTAAGAATTTGGACTTTATTTTGTAGACTGTAGTGAGATATGGAAAAACAAAGGAAGACTGAGGAACTATCACAGAATGAAGGAGACTAAAGAGACATCGCAAGTAGGTACAGTTTGGGGTTCTAGATTGGATCTTGGAAAAGAAAAAGGACACTAGGGTAAAAATGGGTGAAATTTGAAAGCTGTATAATTTGGGTAGTAGTATTGTACCAGGGTTAATTTCCTGATTTTGATCATTGCACTATGTTTATGTAAATTGTTAACTTTGAGGAAGCTGGGCAAGGGTATGTATGCATGAACTTTTTTTTTTTTTAATTTTTTTTTAAAGATTTTATTTATTTGTGAGAGAGAGAATGAGAGACAGAGAGCATGAGAGGGAGGAGGGTCAGAGGGAGAAGCAGACTCCCTGCTGAGCAGGGAGCCCGATGTGGGACTCGATCCTGGGACTCCGGGATCATGACCTGAGCTGAAGGCAGTCGCTTAACCAACTAAGCCACCCAGGCGCCCTGAACTCTCTCTTTTATGCAGTTCTACGAGACTAAAATTACTACAAATTAATTATTGAATTAAAAAGTTTGGGCCTGGGGCGCCTGGGTGGCTCAGTCAGTTGAGTGTCTCTTGATTTTGGCTCAGGTCATGATCTCAGGGTTGTGAGATGGAGCCCCACATTGGCTGTGTGCTGAGCATGGAGCCTGCCTGGGATTCTCCCACTCTCTCTCTCTCTCCCTCCCTCCCTCCCCCTCAAAAAAGTTTGGGGCTCCACACTGGGCTTGGAGCCTACATTTAAAAAAAAAAAGTTCTAAAAAAAGGTCATATGTTTTGCATTGTTTTGCAGTTTTGTTGTCCATATTCACCTGGCTTTCCTGTGACCATGAATATGTGAGGGATGTGGTCAGAATCAGAGAGTGATCTTTATTAATAGCAATAGTGATAACATTTATAAAACTCTCACTGTCAGGCACTGCTAAGCAGTTTACGTGCAGAGAGAACAAAAACCACAGACTCTGGAGCTTCCCTGTCCAGGTTTGAAGCCTGACACTAACTTACCCACCTGGAGACCTTGGGCAAGTTAGTTTACGTCTGTGCTTCAGTTTCCTCAGCTGTGAAACGCATATATTCATAAAAGTCACATCTCGGAGGGTTGATATCAGATTAGATGAGCTGATTCCTGTGAAGTGCTTTGAGAAGAGAAGTAACTCACACAGCCCATACAGAGTTAGGATTTGAGCTAATTGGTCTGATTGCAGAGCCCATGCTTCTGACCTGTGGCCTCTTGTTTCTCTGGGCAGGACTTACTGGCCTCTGCAGGCACCAGAATGACATGTTGGATACCTTAGCGTTCTGCCCCGAAGGATTAAACAAGTGGCCAGGCTAGATGAAAATATTATAAATAACTTCCTTAAGTGAGACCTCAAGAAGAGCTGGTAGGTATGCCAGCCATCATCACTGATACTGGGTTCCACTAGTGAGCAAGTTCTGCTCTTTGTTTGCGATAGAGTTGAAAAAAGATTTCCAGAAATGTCATAGCAGAGATGACGTTAGTTTAAATGATAGCAGGTTAATGGCATCAGCCTGGTCAGACTGGACATGGCAGCTTGTTAGTTGGATGCTAGAAAATAATTTATTTTAAAAAAAAGGAATAGGGGCGCCTGGGTGGCTCAGTTGGTTAAGCCACTGCCTTCGGCTCAGGTCATGATCCTGGAGTCCCGGGATCGAGTCCCACATCGGGCTCCCTGCTCGGCGGGAAGTCTGCTTCTCCCTCTGACCCTCCCCCCTCTCATGTGCTTTCTCTCTCTCATTCTCTCTCTCTCTCAAATAAATAAATAAAAAAAAAAAAAAAAAAAAAAAAAAAGGAATATTGTCCCGCATCGGGCTCCCTGCTCAGCGGGGTGTCTGCTTCTCCCTCTGACCCTCCCCGTCTCATGTGCTCTCTCTCTCTCTCTCTCTCAAATAAATAAATAAAATCTTTAAAAAAAATAATAAAAATAAAAATAAATTTTAAAAAGGAATATTTGGGTTTGGGGAAATAATTATAACTGTTGATTATTATTTTTATTCAGCATTATATTTAAGTAGATTTGATCATGATTTAATCAGAATTCATAACGTAAGTGAATTAAATTCAGGCTTTTACACAGGATGTCTTACTGTGTTTGTCTGTTCTTCTGCAGCAAAATGACATTTATCTTTTCTTAGTATGGTTGTTAAAAGGTATTTTAATACTAAAACATGCATCCATCCTCAGCAGCACTGAGATTAGATGAAATCTATTGCATTAAATACACATTACTAAATCGTCTTTAATGTGATTACTTCTTAAAAGTCTGTCTTTTGTCATGCTGTTAATAGTTATTAAATATATTGTATTAAAATGTAAAGGTATTCCACAGAGCAGCACCGTCCAGTAAAAACAGGCATTACATATGTAATGTTAAATGTTCTAGTGTCCAATTTCAAAAGTAAAAGGAATCGGGTGGCTTAATATATTTCATTAGGGGTGCCTGGACGGCTCAGTCGGTTAAGTGTCTGCCTTTGGCTCAGGTCATGATCCCAGGGTCCTGGGATCGAGCCCTGCATCAGGCTCCCTGCTCTTTGGGGAATCTGCTTCTCCCTCTACCCTTCCCCCTCTGCTCATCATCTCTCTTTCACTCCCTCTCTCTCAAATAAATAAATAAAATCTTGAAAAAATATTTTATTTAACCCAATATTTCAAAAATATTATTACCCAATATTTCAACAATTTATTATTTTAAAATTATTTTTTTTAAAGATTTTATTTATTTATTTGAGAGAGAGAATGAGACAGAGAGAGCACGAGATGGGGGAGGGTCAGAGGGAGAGGCAGACTCCCCGCTGAGCAGGGAGCCCGATGCGGGACTCGATCCAGGGACTCCATCCAGGGACTCCAGGATCATGACCTGAGCTGAAGGCAGTCGCTTAACCAACTGAACCACCCAGGCGCCCTATTTTAAAATTATTAATGGTATATTTTACATTCTTTTTTTTAATCTTGAGTCTTCAAAATCTGGTGCACTTCTCATTTTGGCACATCCGCAGCAGTCAGACTAGCCACGGTTTCAAGGGCTTACGTAACCGCGTGTGGCCAGTGACTACTGAATTGGACAATACAGCTGTGGAGTAGAGCTCATAGTCTTTGTCCAGAGAGTGGATTAAACCTCTCTTTGTAGACAGCCAAGAATAGTATTCCTTTTTGCAGATGGACACCAAAGTTTGGTGAAGCCTAAAGACATTAAAATGCATTTATTAATAATATTTATGTTTTATACTTAAGTAAGAAGGTTATGTGAATATTTATATTCTCATATATTAACATAACCTTTGAGAGGGTATTTTGGTTCAGTCTTTCAATTTTCAATATGTGTGCCTTTTGATTCACCAGCAATTTCACATTTCAAAATTTATCCCGAAGAAATATGTGAACAAATATGCAATAATTTATGTATAAGAATCTTCACTTTAACACTGTTTAGTATGGTTTTTAAAGGGAAGCAGTCTATATAAATGCCCATTAATAGATTAAATAAATTATAATACATTGACACGATGGAATATTTTGCAACTATGAAAAAAATAGAATATGACATGGTTCAGTGGGAAAAAGTATAATGTAGAATATTAAGTATATTACAGTCTCCCTTTTATGTGAAAAGTGTGTTGTTTATATTGGTCTTACATATGGAAAATGCTACAGCCACACTTAAGAGTTTTAGTTAAGGGGCGCCTGGGTGGCTCAGTCGTTAAGCGTCTGCCTTCAGCTCAGGTCATGATCCCAGGGTCCTGGGATCGAGCCCCGCATCGGGCTCCCTGCTCCGCGGGAAGCCTGTTTCTCCCTCTCCCTCTCCCCCTGCTTGTGGTCCTGCTCTCACTGTGTCTCTCTCTGTCAAATAAATAAATAAAATCTTAAAAAAAAAAAAGAGTTTTAGTTAACAGTGATTATTTCTGAGGGTAAGACTGCAGGTGGCTTATCAGTTTTCTATACATTTTTGTATTTGAATCATTTTTATAAGAATTATATATTACTTTCTATAATTAGGAGGTAGCAGACATTTAAAAAAAACAAGTACAGAGATTTTGTTTTTGCATGTTATGAAACATGAAGAATGGGAAGCAATATAAATGTTCAAAAATGTATTATAGTATTTCCGCTCCTGGGATTGTATATAGCTACCCAGATATTGTTATGGGACAATGCTTACAATGCAAAGTGAAAAAAAGAGAATACAAAAGTGTATGTGTGTGTGTGTGTGTGTGTGTAAATAACAGGATGACTGTGAAACACAGACGTAACTAATCAATGTTAACAGCTCTCTGTAGGTGAGGGATGATGCATTTTGTGTGTATGCTTTGTTGGTTTTTTTCCATATTTTCTATAATGAATTTATACTTTTTCCATTACTCTTGTAATGGGGAAAATCTCATCACTATTATTATTGTAAGATTCATTTGTTAAAAAAAGAATGAAATTTGGGAGGCTTAGCTATGGGTGGTACCATAGGGAATCAAATTACTCGATATGTGTAAAAATGTTTGTAATACTGTAAAGCTAGTATTATGTACATGAAAATATCATATTTTTGTTTTGTTTTGCCCAAGTAGAATTTTGTGGGGTTTTTTTTAAAGATTTTATTTATTTTTTAAGTAATCTCTGCCCTCAGCATGGGGCTCAAACGTAACAACCGGGAGATCAAGAGTCACGTGATCTTCTGACTGAGCCAGCCAGGTGACCCCCAGTAGAGTTTTTTTGGTTAGAATTTTATAATATGCATATTGTCATACAGCCTCTTCTATTATAATGAACAGAAAGGGCTACCTCCTGTGAATTCTCTTTGGTATAATTTTGTCTGTATAAGGTCATATAGTTGTTCAGCTCCTTTCATCAGAGGATCTCAAAGCACTTTGTACAAAAATACCCTTTTTTTTCTGTTGGTGGGAAATGGAAGTGATATAATTTAAATTTCCATAACACCATGACTAAGGATCAAACTTGTTATGTACTCAGATGTACTCCTTCATTTAAAGATGGGTGAAATGAAAGACTGGATCTAGTGAATAGAGATGATGTGGAATTCTAGAAGCCTTTTCTGACTCAGGGAACCAGTGCTAATGAGTGATGGTGGTGTGAGGCATTTCATTTGGGTTTGTACCACTACTGTGCTTACTACCTACTAGTAATGACACTGAAAAATGATTAAGATGTACTTAGAGGAGGAAAATGGGGTACTCAAGTCCTCCTCTTCTGTCTGGAGTAGTGTTTAAGGGTTAGTATATTGCTCAAGGGCACAAGTGTGTCTACTCTTTTTTGAGACTATGATGTAAATGGATCTACTGTCATTTACAATGCACTGTTATGAGACTTTTTTCCTGTAATATTAAGGAAAAAGAGGGAAATACATTTGTGATTAGTGTGTGCCTATGAATTGTTCTCCATTCCACTCAGGAGTCACATGCTCCTGTGATCAGTTCTGGAGTTTGTTAACTCATGGAATGTGTTTCCTTTTCTAGGTTAAAAGTTACTAATGTCGCTGCCTGTTTGTTTCCTGCTTTATTTAGGTTTCATGTCCTCAGCAAGCTACTGAGCTTCATGGCACCTATTGACCATACTACAATGAATGATGATGCCAGGTGAGTAATAGATTAATTACGTGTCTCAAATGGCTCCATGACAGCCTGATATTGACCTGTTCTAGAGCCTGTCCATTTCTTCTTATCAGTTAACCATTTGTCATTGGCATCATAGCAAGGGCTTGTCACATTTCTTCACCCCATAATTACTGTAGAACCAAACCAAAATTTCCGTAAATATCAATGCTGCCTCTGGTGGGGTTTGTTTTTTTTTTTTCCTGTTTTGTTTTTAACTTTAGCCACTTGCCTAGCACATCTGGGCTTTTCTCTAGAACAGAAAGGTGTCAGGACAGCACATGTGCTTGCTTTCTGTGGCTGGGGGTTTTGTGCATATTCTCTCCTTTTTAAAAATGTCTTTAGAGACTGCTCTAGAGATGTGCATTATGTTGTGTTTGTTCAGGCTGCTGTTGAGGATTTTTTTTGTGTGTGTATTTTTATAAAAGAAGTACATGCTCATTTTATAAACTGAAACAAGATAGAAATGTATGCAAACAATGTATCCTTCTATATTAGCTAGCGTTCTACTATATTGTAGTATTTCTTTTCTTTTTTTTTTTTTTTAAGATTTTATTTATTTGAGAGAGAGAGAATGAGAGACAGAGAGCAGGAGAGGGAGGAGGGTCAGAGGGAGAAGCAGACTCCCCGCTGAGCAGGGAGCCTGATGCGGGACTCGATCCTGGGACTCTAAGATCATGACCTGAGCCGAAGGCAGTCGCTTAACCAACTGAGCCACCCAGGCGCCCCATATATTGTAGTATTTCTATATTACTTATTTAGCCATATTCCTTCCCTTTCACTTATTTACCATTCATTTATTCATTTATATCAGTATGAACTCATGCTTTCCTATTTTATCCAATGAATTATAACCTATTACTGTCCTTATTTTTTATCTGAAGTTGTTCCATGTTAATGGAAGCCCTTTCAAGCTGGCTTTTGTCCTCTTGAGATGTCCCCATTCCTTGAGTATGTTCTTACTTTCTGGCATAACGGGGTGTTCTAGGCTTATCTTAAACTTTCCCTGTTCCAGCCCTAGAGTCAGTCTTCCTCCAAGGAGCCCTGATTCTTTTTTGTGGATTGTGGTATTTAGAAACCAAGATCTGTGTGCTAAGGGTGTTCATTGTCACCGGGTTTCACTGTTCCTAGGCTCTCTTCAGTGTATGGAGCTAGGAGATGTGTGTGTGTAAATATATACACATGTAGGAGACAGCCACTTGTGTAGCATCTCTGAATGTTTCCTTTCAGTCTTTTTTTCCCCCAATTTTCCTAAACATTTTATTTATTTATTTATTTATTTATTTATTTATTTATTTATTTATTTAAACGTAATCTTTGCACCCAACGTGGAGCTCGAACTCATGACCCTGTGGTCAAGGGTCACATGCTCCACTGACTGAGCCAGCCAGGCACCCCTCCTTTTAGTCTTAGTGTCCTTTGAGAATGTTCTTGTTTTTCTTTAGAATATAATTAAAATTATATTCTATTGTGAATTTTTTCTTTAAATATTTTGTATACTACATTCAAAAATTTTTAATGACTGTATAATATTTTTATATTGCTTATTTAAGTCATTCACTAATTGTTGGACATTTAAATGATTTTAATTATTGTAAATAATGCTGTGGTAGACATTTGTAAACGTAAAACACAAATCTTTACCAAGCGAAATTATTGGTCCTAGGGTAAGCACATAAGGGTTTTGCCAGCTTTATGTTTCAAAGTACACTTAACCTTTTTATTTGAGAGTATTTTGTTTGCTATTAAACCTCATCAGATTTTCTATCCTGGCCTAAAAAGTAGTAGATCTGCAAATTGAGGTGAACACAATGATTACTTACTTTTTGTTTGCTTTTGTTCAGTACTTTGAGTACAAAAGAGCTTATGGAGGGTTCTGAATACATTTATACTCAGAACTTTGTGACTTCACATGCTCTCCTGTGCTTTGCAAGTGAATGCCTTCGTCTGGCTGGGGTTTTTTGTTTCCACTTATTTCTGGATCTAGTCTGTTTTTTTGAAATTACAGAGTAAATTGAGTGCAACTTAAAATTCCTGTCGGGACAACATGGAAGATTGTATCAACAGGAAAGGAGAACTAGATGATCAAAAACTAAAACAAACCCATTACGGAAACATTATTACCCCAGGCATAAAGTGTGAAACCCAGTATAATATTAGTGGCGTCTTTTGAATACAGTATTACTACTAGATCATTTAGAAACAACTTTTTGTCCTTCGTAGTTGGCATTTTTCTTGAATCACCTAATATCCCAGGGGCACTTAGTTTTCCTGAATCTTATTTATTCACTTGTAATTTCTGAGGGTTGCTACCAAATGCTAGCCAAAGATGATTTGAAAATGACTGTATTAATTTAGGATTATGTTGGACTTGGTCTGCAAGAATCTTAAAACCTGCCTACAGAGGCATAAGCAAATGAGTTTACGTTTCTGACAGAAAAAATTTAGGGGCAGCATGCAATTATTGGCAGTGGTTTTCCCTTCTCTTCTCAGTGATGTAAGGGCCAGCTTCTCTTAGTCTTTCCCTTGAGGTCCCAAGATGGCGGCTGCAGTTTTAGCCATCAAACGTGTTCATGGCAGGAAGAAGAGAGGAAAGAAGTGGTGTCAGATCTGTCTGCTTTTGTTTATCAGAAAAGTAAAAGCTTCCCCAGAATCCCCTCCAAACGTCTTATATCTCATTAGTTAGAACTGTGCTACGTGCTGCTTCAGGTAGAGCAGGCAAGGGAGAAGGGGTTGGGAATGTTTGTTGGGTAATAGTCCTTCTGGCATTCAGTGTTGGTGGGGGGGAGTAAGGCTGTCCCTTGTGGACTGATTGCTTATTATCAGCATTGTTCTTCAGCTCGTTTAGCCCATTAACAAGGAATTTAATAAAAGTCTTGTAGCTGGAGAACTGAGCATGTGTTTTTACCACAGTGCACTCTATTCCCATTGTGTTTCCTAAGGAGAAGAGGCATTTATCCACATTACTGCTCGTGCTGCATAGTCTCAATAAGCCAGATTAACTGTGGGTAAAGGAACTGGGCATTAGGTTTCTCTGCTTCTCGTATCCAAATTCTCAGGGCAAAAGAAGGCAATCGTAGCTTGACTTACTTCGTTTTTCTTTAGGTAATTCCATAACTGGTGACAATCTGCTACTGTACTATTTTGTCTCCTACTTTGTGTACCACAAAATATCACTGAGGAATTGGAAACTTTCATAGTTGTTATCAGTGTATAGTACTTTTCCTCAAATGAATAGTTTTTGTTTTGCTAAGTTACAGATATGTCATTCTTGGTATACATTATGAATAGAGAATTTTTTTTATGATTTGGAGATAGAGAAGGACTTTGTAAGCATGACACCAAGGCCAGAAGCCATAAGGAAAAATAATTAATAGATCTGACTACCTGAAAGTCACACTGAAAAAGACATCGAAAACAAAGTGATAAGTAAATGACAGGGACGCCTGGGTGGCTCAGTGGGTTAAGTGGCTGCCTTCGGCTCAGGTCATGATCCCAGGGTGCTGAGATTTAGTCCCACATTGGGCTCCCTGCTCAGCGGGGAGCCTGCTTCTCCCTCTGCCTGCCGCTCCCCCTGCTTGTGCTCGCTCGCTCTCTCTGACAAATAAATAAATAAAATCTTAAAAAAAAAAAGTAGGTAAATGACAGACTGATAAGAGAAAGTTCAATATATGATATTTTTCTTTACTATGTAAAATACTATGTAAAGAGTTTTTACAAGTCTCTGAGAATCCCAGTAAAAATAATGGGCAAAGCATGTCAACAAGTAAACTTAGAAATCATAAAAAAAAAGTCTCAAATAGCTAAGAAACAGACTGTCAACCTCATTAATCAAAGAAATGCAAATTAAAAGATTTCGTTTTTTCCCTATTAAATTATAAAACATTAAAAGATTGGTAACCTCCTGTGTTGATGGTATGGGGAAACAGAGACTTCCATGTACCATTGTTGGGAATGTATTTGGCAAAATGATTTTGGAGGGCTATTTGGCAATGTGTGTCAGAATTTTAAATGTATACTTAACTGATGACCTAGAAAAATCTACTTCTAGGAATTGACCTAAGGAAATATAGCAAGTCAGCAAATACATTTGTATTAAGAATCTTTATAGTGTGTGTCAACTATACTTCGGTAAAAAAATAAATAAATATGATCTCGTGGTTATGAGATTGAGCCCCACATCCGGCTCCATGCTCAGCAGGGAGTCTGCTTGAGGGATTCTCTCCCTCTGCCCCTGTCCCCACTCTTCCCCCCCTCTTTCTCTCTCTCTCTCTCTCAAATGAATACATCTTAAAAAACTATTTAAAAATAAATAAATAAGTAAATAGGAAATATAGAACAAAAGAAGAATCTTTTGCAACATGGTTTATAATGGGGGAAAATAAACAATCTGAATGACCTTCAATAAACAACTTGTTAAATAAATCACAGTAAATTCATTCAATGAAATTATAAACAGCTGTTGAAGGATGAAGTGGTGCTGTATAACATAATGTTCAGCTACAAAATACTATATTATAATCCATCTTTTGAGTAAATAGGTATGTATGATAGGAAAAAAAGTGATACCTTTATTTTTTTTTTAAGATTTTATTTACTTATTTGACAGAGAGACAGCGAGAGAGGGAACACAAGCAGGGGGAGTGGGAGAGGGAGAAGCAGGCTTCCCGCAGAGCGGGGAGCCCAATGCAGGGCTCGATCCCAGGACCCTGGGATCATGACCTCAGCCGAAGGCAGACGCCTAATGACTGAGCCATCCAAGTGCCCAAAGTGTTACCTTTAAAAAATCGATTATACTGGGCGCTTGGGTGGCTCGGTTGAGCGACTGCCTTTGGCTCAGGTCGTGATCCTGGAGTCCCGGGATCGAGTCCCGCATCGGGCTCCCTGCTCAGCAGGGAGTCTGCTTCTCCCTCTGGCCCTCCCCCCTCTCATGTGCTCTCTCTTTCTCTCATTCTCTCTCTCAAATAAATAAAATCTTTTAAATA